TTATATATAGAATCTCTACTTTAACTCATTCTTACCTGACGAAAAACCTTTACCCAAGCCTATGCATAAAAACAGTGAGAGGAAGACAAAAGACAGCTTCATGTTGATGACCCACTTGGTAGAGCTAAAATGTGCTTACACCAGCTTGATGATAGTATAAATGCAAATTATTCGCTAGGCTATCAGATCATGGGTCTTCTTCATTATAAAGCCATTGTCATCTCGAAGAATAACGATTAATCAACCACTAATAATCATTACTAATTATCAAACTAAATCTTTTCCGAGCCATATGAAATAAAAACTTCCAAGAAGATGTCATGGAATTCCATATTAACTGCTGAAGAAAGTTTGTTTAAATATGTGCTGTATCATTTCTATTGATCTGTTACGTCCTTTTAATGATTACTTCCTTTGCAAGGACTATTTAAACAAAAAGAGACTATAGAAGAGAACTGATTTAACAATACACGAATTCCTTCTCACATGATAAAGTACGATGCAACGCTCTAATTTTACAATTCTGTWCACTTCAATAGGATCTAATGATCTTAACGAGCGTTTGCACTGTAAATAAGACGATTGAAGGGTATCAAGAAGATCTAATTACATCAATTGCCCTATTTCATTTTTTGAGATTAAGATATTGAGTTGTGCATAGCAACATGCAAGGTTTAATTTTAATACACATGAGTCGTTTCTTCTGCGTTAAGGTKGATCACAACTAATGAAACGCGAATTTTGTACCTTTTTAACTCGCTCGCTTCGCAAAAGTATTTAGYTWAACGTGCTAAAATTTAAATATAAAATGCAGTTATTATTGTAGTTTTTGTAAGTTGTCACAATTTAGTAATTTATTGGCTGGTTTTTAAGATCAGTTTTCGACGAATTACTCTAAAACTTAACAATCGGATCATCTTGAAATTTTCAGAATTTGTATATCTTATCAAACTGCATAAAGGCTATGAATTTAATTGGAAAAGCTCGGGCAGAAATTAAGATATTGAACGCGGCTCAAAAATGAGCCCAAAATTTKACCTGCATAAAAGTCCAGTCCTAATGATCAAAAAGAGTCATGACKTTCTCTCARGATAGGCCTGGATTCATTTGGTTAATTATATTCAGCGCCTGTCAAACGGGAAACTATAGTGATCAGCGACTAACACGAAGGTTGTAGGAGGAGGATCCAACATTTCTTACATTTTGCGGCTCGAAGGCTGAAGCGATGATTTTGGCTTTTAACATGTTAAAGACAAGTATTTAATTAAGAATTGCTTTCATTTGATAGTATAAGCTAGCATATATAGTCAATGGTGTCGGCATTTTGCCTTTTGAAACAGTCCTTAAAGCATCAATGGTACAAAATGGCACATGGTACAAAATCCGCCATAATGACTGGAAAATAGTATGCATTCGGCTWTATAAAATAACTTAGATACTACGCGTGTGTGTTTAAATTATAGTATGAAACATGGTTTTGACTTCACCAGTTTTCCAAGTGCAAATTTCAAACCTAGAACTAGATTATCAAAATAAAAAATACTCAGCAAGTTACATTTTTCTACGAAGAAATTGAGAAATTTAGTGAGTATTTTGATTATTATTGAAAAAGTTAAATTACTAAGTATAAGAGAAATTGTCATTTTCTATTGGCGCTTGAGAATTTTCTGACGCAATGTTTAGCGAGAGCTGTTTCTTTTCTATGCTTGTTCAATGAGTCTCTTCATAGTTTATAAATTCATTACCTACCAGTAAGCAATAAAGAGCTACCAGTCTAGCGATATGAATACCTGTTTATCCATGAAACGGGATTTATCCGANATTATAGCCATATACATTTCAGTGCAACATGGAGGATTTTGTACCTTGTGACCGATTGATGCATTATATAGTGTAAAATATCAAATTCCACTTTAAAAATCCGTACTGTAAAATTCAAATGTAAAAAAATACACAGCTGGATATCATAAAACACAGATACGGTTCTGAAGTTCATATCGCATTGACGGATGTGACAAGTGAGTTAATCAGTAAAAAACATGAAACATTGACACAGATCGCCCCCGCACACGTTGATTTCTTAGCCCTAGATGCTAGTGTTCTAGCAAGAGGTTAGTTCCCCTAGGTTTCTTGATTTAGCTTTTACGTTTAAAACAAGATGACAGTTCACGCAGCACAGCATTTCGTAGCTCGGTAAGACGCCATACGTAAATAGCTGGATTGACTGCTGAATTAGCTAACAAAATAGCAATAGAAATATCACCCAATAGAACAACAAAACCTTGGTATCCAATTATAACAAAACATAATGTGAATATGACATATGGAGTCATAAATACTATCAAAACTAGAGTTATCATCAAGAAAGTGACGGAAGACTTTCTGATCTTCAAAATATTCTCAGGGYGKACTTGGTTGGGTCTCGTCRCGTTTTCTATGCTATCGATCTCGCGATGGTGTCGTTGTGTTATTTTGAAGATTTTCCAGTAGCAAAAAAAGATGGTCAAGATCGAAAGGGTACAGCCAATTGTCAAAAWGACTGTAAAAGTAYTCACTTCTCCCAGGAATCTTGGTACAAGGGTCATTGACATAGCTACCCAGAGCAAGGCAAATAGAATCAGAACACGTTGATTGGTGACCAACTCGTTGTATCGAAGATGGAARTGWAGAGCAAAATATCTGTCGATGCTGACGAGTGATAGTGTTCCCAGGGAAACTCCAGATAAGATCACTGAAGAACAGATTATAACGTAGACTGCATTGCAGTATTGTTCCCAATTATGGTGATACTTTGCCAAACTGTAGACAACAAAAGCTGTTTGAGATATCAAGGCCGTTGCGAAGTCGGTAAATGCAAGACAAGCGAGTAGAACGAACGATGGTCGGTGGAGGCTTGAATTCTTCAACACAGTCCAAATGATGAGTGAATTTTGAAATATGGTTAAAACTGCAGTTAAGCAGTTTAGAATAAGCATGGTAAACAATACAATTCGTTCGCTGGTGTCTTCTCGTATGACTAATATGAGGTGAAAACAGACTGTTCCTTCTTTGGTTTGATTCATGTTGAAACTCGTCAAAAACTCACATTTCCCTCGATGATCCTTCTTTCCGCAGTAAAAATGTGCTGACAATTGAAAATTCTTATTTGCATATGATGCGAAGACCACAATACTTCTTTGCAATTTCTATTGTTATGTAGTAAGTGCTTATTGTTCCTGTATTTTCCAACGGGAATCATTATAACACTCCCTGAATAAGAACACAGCGTCAGTAGCAGTGCCATCTGCCTGAATTTTCTGCATGACTCAAAGTGATGAATTTTGATGAATACGAATTATTCTGTGTTACTAAGATTTCTTTAGAAAGGAATAATTGCAGCCGGCACGAGGAAAAGATGATATCGTCTTGCTTGCCCGAAATGTTTTTTAAAATTATTAGAATGTGTTCGGATCGTAAGTTCAGCATTAAGATAGGAACTTGATTTGTTAAGTGTATATACTGTGTATACTTTGCTAAAAAGACATAGAAAGTAAATGAACCCATAAACGTTATTTCACGATCTCTTCATACATACTTGAATGACTATCGTAGAGCTATCATTGCAGATATACCATCGGGATAATGTAGCTAGATATCAACTTGACTGACAGTTTGACTTTTTCCATTAAACAGAAGAGCAGAAGAGAGCACTTTCACAGCACGACGTCTTTGTTTGGTTTGAACAAGACTTTGAAAGTATATTTTAAGGTATCTTGTGTGGGTATAATGGTTTTGACGTACCGTCGATGTTTTATGGTAAAATGGTTGGCAGCAATATTATCAATATTATCAATGTATTTTCAGATCAGATGTCGCATAAAAAAACAACATGATTGGTAATCTTAGTAATTTTCAGTAGGTGGATGGTAAATCAGTGCATGTCAAGAAAAAAACCCAGTTTCTTTGCTAGAATCTAATTTAAGATAAAGCATTATTCATAGCTAAAGGCCATACAGAGAATTCCTACTTTGAGAGCATTAAAAGGACATACTATGAAGACTATTGAGTTTTGTGAAAAAATATCCGTTTTTATATAGTCTTGTTATGAGGCTTAAT